TGTTTTTATGACCTTGGTAATGTTTTGATACAACCCCTGGCAAACCTGAACTGAAAAAGAGCTTGAACAGCAGGGTGAGTATCCTTTCCAAATGTCAAAAGCCTTTAGCAGCTTTGATGTCTTTCAAACACCTTTTGGCTGAATGCTGCATTTGCATTAGGTGTTTGTCAGCTAAGTTCATTTTAATATGTATTAGACATTTAAAAGGAAGGCATACCAAGTAGTTTATTTTTGGTGTCTAATGTTGTCTAACCCCTTTAAATGAAGACAGAATTTCTACACCTGCAACACCTTATTGATGAGTTGGAAAATTGAACTGTGAATTACTCAATTTGACAAAATGTTCCTGAAATTGATGTAGAAGAGAATATGGTATTGGTAGTTTATTCAATAGATTTCTTCATACAAAATGGCTAAATGTACATTAGTGGCATCTTTTATCTGCGGCACCGACACTTGCCATCTCCTCAGTTCTATCACAATGCAGAAAAGATAGATACATTTGTTCTACACTTCTAATGTGAGTTAATGTAAAAAATGTATCAAAGCCATCTGACCTGACACTTCCATTGTTACTCACTGAGCATCTGTAATAGAATTCAGTCTTCCTGCAATGAATTTAATAGAACAATGCTTAGTTACATCCAAGTAATTAAATAACCACCTAATTATTTTTTAAGATTGATAATTGCAGACTTCAGTAACTAGGCATTTCAGCATGAATCAAAGTTCAAGTATCCATGAGAAAATGCACGTAGCTCTAATGATAGGTTCTGCATTTTGCATGCAATGGTTATGAACTTGATTTACAACCTGCTTTACTGACTTAGATTGGAAGAGTTTCGGTGAAGGCAGTTATGCCATTTGAAGGTCACATACAGGTCAACAAAAAGGTATGCATGTAAAAAATAACAAGGGTTCATCTGAGTAGAAGGGGAAAGAACTGTAAGAGTTTTCAATGTCTGCGATAAAGTTCTTAGCAATTCTATAGTTCTCACCCTACACTTTGTTTCTACAGCAAGTACCACTTACTGTTCATCTGCAGTTATAGAACACATCAGTGCTTCCTTCAGTGTCGTTGAGCACCTGAAAGGCTCTTGTATCCAAAGTCTCTAGATTGTACTTTGATGAGTTCGTCTCTAAGAAAAACTTGAGAGGTTTTCTGTCTTAACACGTTGCTCCCCCATCTGGTAAATGGACAGAATCGGTCTTGTTATACAGTGTTTTCTGAAATGAGGCTCCATTTTCGTCAAGGCATTTTTCTATATACATTCGCTCGCCACACAATGCATTTAACGCAAATGAAATGGTCAGGATTGTTAGTAGTACTTCCACAGTTATTGCTGCATCATAGTTTCAGCATTTTTTTTAGTTTTCTGTATCTTACTGACCCTCAAATTGATGTGATGTTTTCTTACTGCACGAGAAGACAATTTGCTGTTTTCCCCACTTTTTGTATGTCTAATCTGCTGAGGGAATCTTACGTGAAAACAATTGGAGAAGGGGTGCTGTTAAACTTTTTCTTCCCCCCCAATTTCTTCGTGGTTAAGTTTCTTCTATCTTCTGTGCAACTTTTATGATTTGAGTGTTTGAAGCTGTGAATGAAAAATGACAATACACTGTACATGACCCAAGAGGGTAGTAAAACCATTTACTTGCAATTACTGACCGCAAGAGGATATGAAAACAGGAAAAAATGAGCACACTCCCCTATGGGACTATAATTGAGAAATATTCCACTATTTTCAGTGTTTCTGTGGTTCAATCTGACATGGGTAGTTTTTCAGTTTATTAAGAGGGATTGTAATTTCTGCACCGGGAATATGCAAGACTAATAATTCAGCTAAATTAACAAGAATTTAACAAATCTCTCAGTTTGAATTTGTTTTGCTGTTCCTGTATTCTCAGAATTAATTTGCAAAAATCCATTAAACATAATAACTGAGTTGACTTAAGGTACCATTCTGTCAGACAGAGATAAAACACTTGCACATTCTTTACATAATAATTTAAATCCCTCTTTGGATGTGACTGGGAATTGAGCAAGCACAATAGCAATCCTTCCATTATGCAAAAAGAAGCAAAAACTATTAACAAATTACAGCTTTCATTTTCTATTAATTGAGGATTATTGTATTCTTAAAAGTGGTGGGTTTTCTTTTTTCAAATTGAGCAGAACATTTTTTGTTTCTCAACACCAGCACAGGCTTGTGTGGTGGTATTTGTAGTTTGTCAGCAAACATAGCTTTGAGCATAAAAGTTTGGGTTTTTTTTCCCACAGCAAGAGGTGATCAGAGGTGTCGGTGAAGGCTTGTACAGAAACTCTTTTTTGGAAACCATTGTTCATACCCCAATTAATGCACCTGGCAGTTTCAGGAATTTTTCTTTTTTTCCCCGAACATAAGACAAGTTACAAAAAAGAGAATGCCATTCACCCATCTATCCCATTTTGTAGTTAGTAGTTAATGAATTAATAATTCAAGGATCTCATAGAGTTGTTCCTGGCTATCGACTTCAGCAACATAGCTGGGTAGCTTGTTCCAAACTTCCAAAGCCCTTTGGGTAGAGAACTACCTCCTGTTCTTGGTTTTAAAATGCACTTTCACGTAATTCCCTCTTCTACCCTCTGGTTAGTGTTACACTGTGCCTTCATAAATAATTTTAAGAGAAATGTCCCACTCAGCTAGGAGGCAAGCATCTCTGTTTTCAATTTTTCCCTCACTGTAAAGGCTTGGCAATATCGGCAATAAGCTACACACTTCTCTTAAAATCATTCTAAATATTGAAATGTATATCATTTAAAGATGACAAAAATACTTTTTTTTTCCTCTCACACTGTGAATGTGAACACAGGATAGGCATATAATACAATTCATTTTGTTTATGTTTCATTTTAATCTGCCTTAAGGAAGTAAATGTACTAATGCAAACAGACCCTAGAGACTGCACACTTACCTGAGTGACAGTACAATAATAGGCTGCATTTCCCAGCTCCATTAAAGTTAAAGAGCGTTAATAATAGCTCAGAGTAAAAAAATAAGAATCCTAATCCCATGTTTTGGTTCTTAGCCGCAAAGAATTCTATCAGACATTAGCTTTGGTGATGGAAAATGACTCCTGGTGATTCTTTGGTCATTACTCCCAACGAGGAGGTGAAATTAAAATGGGATAGGATTGAGAAACATCTCGGCATTCTAACTCCAGTGGAGAGATCATAAAAGTAAAAACTGCACCTTATCTTCTGGAGCTTTCATTAATGGAGTGTATACAGATTTGCGGCTTCAATTGCATTCATCAAGGCAAATAGGTCTGAAGGGCTCAATTCAATATGTCAGCACAAAATGTTTGCTTGGCTAAATTACCCAATTGAAAACAGGGATGTTTGCCTCCTAATTGAGTGGGATATTTTCCTCACAATCGTTGTAATTGAACTAAAGCTCATTAGAACTAGTTTTGTAGGCTTTTGCTGTTGAACAGATGAAAAGAGAAGCAATTGTGTAGAAAAAAAAATAAGCCTGCCATATGTGTAGCTACATTTTGTGGATTGCTTTGCTATCAGTTCTCAAATGCTGCATCCCAAGATAGTGTATCTTGTGAAGTCAGAGAGGTTAGTCAGAATTGCGTATCTCTCACTGTTCTGCATGAGGAAGGTTACAGATGAGGGCAGGTCTGTTTGGCCCAGCAAGCTCATTGGTTTGCCAGTAGAAGGCACAGTATGTGGATCTCGTCCAGGTTCATCTTGAAGGAGTTGAGGGTATCGGCTTCAACAACAGGTCTACGCGCCTTGGTCCCAGTTTCCACAGTTCTTTGTGTAAAGCACCTCCTGTTATCCTTGCAGGTTTCCAGATAACATTGTCTACATAAAAGAATATGTGTTGGAAAACCTTTACATTTCAGATTTTAAGAACTATCCCAAGTATTTCTGTGATATGGGTGTATATGATTTGGTCTCTTAACAAAAAGTTTCAATTAAGTTTTTATAGTGAGGCTGCTATGTAAGTTCTTCTTGAGAAGAAGAATGATGCAGAAATGCTTATGTGAATTTATCATCTGCATAAAATATTCCCTTTAAAAGTAACCTAGAATAACATAATGATGAGCATGACTGCATTTGACTGCTTTAATGGGGATATAACTGCGCTATTTTGGATGTAATTTACAATGTCTTTGTAGTTTGTCTCAGGGTAGATTGCTTTAAATGGGTGACTGTTGATTTTCTTAATTTAAAATTAAATAGGTCTAATGCAGCCGGATTACTTCACAAGTCCTCCTCAGTATTGAGTGTTTTTCCACCAGATTCTCAAAAAATGCTACTTCTGCCCTCTGCTGGAGTTCTGATGAAAGACTAATTCAGTGTGGAGGGGATGTTCTAACAGGGATGAACTATTTCATAGGATTTATTTGGAGTTTTGATACAGAAATTCATACATGTTTCTCACTTTAGGTATCTATAAGGAAAATAGTAATTCCAAATTCTGTTTGTGGGGAAATCACAAACTACATTGCCAATTATGATAAATATTCTTTAGCATTGTTACAAAAAACACCTAATTACCGAGAATATCAATGATTATTAATTTCTTGCATTTATACAGCATCTCAAAGCTTTATAGTTGTGGTAACAACATGACCCTTCTAAATTGCAGACAAAGGGTCTGTGTAAATAATGTTTAGTCTTTTAAAGTATACCAGGTAATAGTGCCTACAGTTCTTAAGAGTTTCGGTACACTAATCAACATGTGGTCCCATTGTTGTATATTGAGCAGCTTTGTATGAATACTAGAATTCTGAAGATGGTAAAACATGCATACTTTATGTATGTTTTGTGCTTTCTGTTGAGGAACCCTAGTGCACTAAATAAAATAGCAGCACCATTTTATTACAGAGTTCTAAGTCTTTTTGTCCTTGCCTTGTGAAAGCCTGCACTGTACCACAAGCAGCCACTTGCAGCTCTTGCCATGAAAGGCAGCAGCTCTGAGACAGTACCTCGTCTTCCCCAGGCTTGTGGAGGAGTTCATGCTGCTGGCCAACATGGCCATGGCTCACCAGATCTACCGCACTTTCCCGGAGCAGGCCCTGCTGCGCCGCCACCCCCAGCCCCAGACCAAGATGGTGGACGACCTGAAGGAGCTCTGTGATCAAATGGGCGTGAATCTGGACTTCACCTCGGCTGGAGCCCTGCACGTAGGAGCCTGCTGCCAGCTCACGTTTAATCAATACACGCAGCGTGGCCAGGCATAAAGGCTGTTTGTTTTTTTCTTCTCTTCGCAGAGGAGTTTGAATGAAACTCTGGGTAAGGACCAGTACTCCAGTGCCAAGAAGGAGGTTCTCACTCACATGTGCTCCCGGCCAATGCAGGTTAGAAACTGGCTGCTTGACCCGTTCTTGTACAAATGTCCTCCTTTAACTTCTGTCCTGCGGAACCCACCTAGTCAGTACAACAAATTCTCAAGCCTCAAGGCTCATATTAACAAACAGCCAACCATCCATTTCTAATCTCTTCCTCCAACACAGTGTAGAAGGGAGCTGGAGCACCTAGCACCAGGCACAAGGCAGGGTACACCCTGGATGGGACAGCAGTCCATCGCAGGGCAAACAGACACAAACACCAGTTTTCCCCAAAGCCCCAAAGTCAATTAATCTGCCCGTATGTTTTTGGCCTGTGGAAGGAAACCAGAGTGGCTGGAGGAAGCCCCATGCAAACTTACGGGGAGAACATAGCGACTCCATGCAGATAGAGCCTCGGGTCCAGCATTGAACCCAGTTCCCCAGTGCTACAAGGCAGCAGTGCTAACCACTGTGCCGCTGTGCTACCTATTAACAAACTAGTCTATAAACAATCTAGTCATAGCTAAACATAGATAGAAGAACAGTTGGAGAGCCCACTGTGCTTTCATGCAGATTTCATCCAGGTTTTTATTTTTTTTTACCTAAAAATCTGTCTCCGCAATCCTCATTTTTAAGGTTAAGCAGCTTTAATGTAATGTTTATCCTGGCGGTCAGTCACTGTTGCATGAACTAATTTGGGGAGCAGGAAGAACTGAAAACCCAGACATTCAGTCTGAATTGGTAACAAATGGATGGAATTTGGTGTGCCATTACTGTTGTGTATTTGAAATGAATAGTATATTCTGAGATACTCAGGCTTCTTTGAAATATGTTTTTTTGTGGTTATGGACATAAAAGGTTCTGTCCTCATCTCTTTCCATTTCCTAGAAAAGGAATAGCAGTTTTGGTTTTACTTCTTGGAAGAAGACATGCTTAGTAGCAAAGAATATGAAACTGCACGATCCAATGTACTGGATTTGTAATAAAATAAAACACACTAAAAGAAAAAAGCACTAGAAGGGCCATTATTCAACACTGGCCTCTTCAAAAAGAGAATGTCTTTGTGGCTGGTAGGCAATCAGATAAATAAATATACAGGATTTTATCACAAGTGTAATCCAAGGCAAACTCTTCAGAAAATTAATATCAGGATATGGTTATGAGTAAAATGCCTTTGGTGCTAGGGCATATAGAATGAGTTTAATTTTAGAACTTCTAGGAGCACTAAACAAACGAGCTCTACATGAGATCACTCAGACAAAGCAACAATACAAAGCAAAAAAAAAATTTTGCCCAGGGTGTATCCTGTTTTTCTAATAGAGTTAAAAAATCTCTTTATAGTTTATACGTGTAATTACAAAGTGCTTTAACTAAGCAACATTTGATTTATTAATTTGCTAACCACAAATATGACAGTTGTGAATAGATTGTGCTGGTGGCTTAGAGTTGATTCATGGAAGCATTTGTTCTGTGCATAAATGTTGTGCGTGTGTTTTAACTTATTTTGTTTCTATTTTAATGTTTTGAACCCACCGAGTTTGGAATTCCCAGTTGTTTCTTTACATCGTGCCTCACGAGTTGAATCTCCTTTTCCGCACGATGGAGAATGAGGAAGAGCAGAAAGGCTCCGCCTACCTGCCCCTCATCAGGCCATCCATCATCTCTTTACACAACACAAGCCCCACCCACCTGCCAGGAGTGTTGGCACCGATTGGAGGAGAAGCTTGTCTGTCACTGGCATCACTGCAAGTCTGCTGGCACCCAGGAAGTTGTCTGAGTTCTTAACTGATCTGTAATTTCTGATCGTGGAGCTCTGACCTTTGACCCACTGGCCTTGCTAAACAGACACATTAGCAGACCATGCCTGTTCACTCAGTTCTAATCAAGATATATAGCGATAAGCCGGATGTTTATGAAACACAGATCCTGAACAGGAGTTGATAAGAGTCTGTTTTTACAAAAACATTTATTTTACCAAAGAAAAAAATGATTTAGAATTAACTGAATTAAAAAGGATTATGGCAACAGTTGGCACAGTGGTTAGCATTGCTGCCTTGTAGCACTAGGGGTCTTGGTTCAGTTCCAGATCTGGGGTGTTCTCTGGGTGGAGTTTGCATGTTCACCCTGCATTTGCTAAGGTTTCCTTCAGGTGCTCCTTCGGTTTCCTCCCACCGTCCAAAAACATACTACTGGCTTACTTGTCTTCTGGGTATGTGTTTGTGTCTGATGTCCCATCCAGGGTGTATTCAACTTTGCGCCTGTTGTTTGTCTGGAGAGGCTCCTGCCCCCCTGTGATTTAGTACGGGATAAAGCGATTAGAAAATGGATGTATTGCCCCATTTTTTTTGCTCCAATTCAATCAATACCTAATCAAACGAGGAGCCGGCAGCCCTGATTTTGTTATTTGTAATTTCCTGGAAGACCTCTAGACCTGATTAGTGGCTGGAGACTGCAGATGATAATGCCAGTCCAGCTCTGTTCTAGTTTTAATAGCCTTGCCACTGGTTTCATTATCTTTTATAAAGCAGCTTATTTGCTAAGGCTTCACTGTTGCTTATATGGGCAAATAAAACCAATGAGCTGGACAAACAAGATCATTTTGGTTCGTTATGCAAACTGCTTGTGTTTTCTTAGCCCCTTTGGACTTCAGCTGTACCACTCAAGGAAAACTGCAGACAGAAGATTGTTGACATACAGTATCTATATATTGTTTATTTGTACTGTAATGTATGTATGACTTTGTTGTAGTTCCTCTGTTCTTTATCTTCTTAGTCTTTAGGGGGTAGCTGAAATTGATTTTTTCCCCCGTACTTGGTCATGTTACACTAATAAATTAATTATTACCTAATGGTTTCAAGTACCCATGACCCTGAATTGGAATAAGCATTTAGAAAAAGGAATGGATGGTTTTAAGTAAGATGCATTTCCACTTTTTGTGCTTAAAGCCAGATTTTTGACTGCAAGACATATAGAACTTCTGAAATACAGGGCTTTTGTAAAACTAACTCAGACATGTACCTAAAAGCAGAGATTTAATGAAGCAGGTGAGTTTATAAGGTAATCAAAGGTAGTTCCTTATTCTTATGGTGTTTTTGCTTTGAAGGAAAACACATGAATAAGGACATGGTACCCAAGATTAATTAACATTAGTCTACTTGCGAATATTCCTAGTGTGCTTTCACAAGCTAGTGATCTGCAACCTGTTCCGGCCTGCCTGAGCATGGTCCCAGAGGCTATCTGGAACAGTCAGGGAGTTAGGAGGAATCTTTTACATAAACAATTCATACCGATAGAACTACTGTCTGAGTTCTGTGCTTAAAGCAATCATTAATAGCACACTCAATGTGTAGTAGTTTATTCACCCGGGGTCTCATCATATTTTAGTTTCCTTGAGGAGAAATTGAGATTTAAGTAAAGGGACTTGTTTCTTCCATGTCTTTGACTTTAATATATGTTCTCTGATTAAAACGATTTCACTTTCACATCTTACCATATTGGAAGAGAACCTTCCTTAAAAATAGTTACTGAACATACTTTGAAATGACATGGATGTCAGCTAAGCAGTATAGCTGTGTGAATAGTGTGTGAAATAGTTAAGTGTCTGAGGTCTTTACTTTATCACAGGGCTGCTGGTTTTCCCCATTAGTTTTGCTTTTTTACCCTTACAACTTTTGTTTTTTACGTTTTTACCTCTCAATCCAGTAATTATCTTTAACTTTTTTCTGCGTTAATCGCACAATGAAAGCTGCCTTGAATCACTTCATTTTGTCCAAGTGGCAAAGAGATGTCTCTCTACCCTTTGCAACAAACGTGGGGTGGGGGATGATGAAATAGTTAAATCTTGTGAAAATATTCCATTTTGAGGCCTCATGTCTGTGTAATTGTAAAAGTCGAGGAATGGTTTAAATTGTTAAGCACCCATGTTTTGGATAGTTGGAACAGATTAAAACGCAACATGTCGATATGAGCTTTTTTTTTTACATTAAAAGGATGTTTTTCTATCATGACTGTTTGTGCGCGACTATGTCAAAAAGGAGCAAGCACAATTAGATCTTCACCATTCGTGGCCTTAAATAGAAGTCTCTGAGGGTTTCATGAAATTGTTTGTAAAATGAGGTTTGGAGGGACTTCATCTAATGGGAGTGTTTTTTCAGATGGCCTTGTATTTCTGCACCGGGGCGCTGAAGGACGAGGTGCTGTTCCGACACTACGCCCTGAACGTGCCCTTCTACACCCACTTCACCTCCCCCATCAGGCGCTACGCCGACATCCTCGTGCACCGGCTGCTGGCCGCCTCGCTGGGTAGGTGAAATCGGCACGGGCCGTCGGCCCTCTGGAGGAAACCTCACCCGAGGAAGATGAAAGTCATTCCGTACCTCCTGCGTTGTAGTCCTTTGAAGTAGGCCTCGAGGAAGATGCACGACTCCGCCTTGTTTTTGGCCAAGCAGACAGCTGTTTGTTGGCATTGTCAGCAATTCAGTGGCGTGATAGTACTACAGATTTAATGAAATAATAATAATAATAATAATTGCTTACACTTATATAGCGCTTTTCTGGACACTCCACTCAAAGCGCTTTACAGGTAATGGGGTCTCCCCTCCACCACCACCAATGTGCAGCATCCACCTGGATGATGCGACGGCAGCCATAGTGCGCCAGAACGCTCACCACACATCAGCTATCAGTGGGGAGGAGAGCAGAGAGTAATGAAGCCAATTCATAGATGGGATTATTAGGAGGCCATGATTGGTTAAGGCCAATGGGAAATTTGGCCAGGACGCCGGGGTTACACCCCTACTCTTTTCGAGAAACGCCCTGGGATTTTTAACGACCACAGAGAGTCAGGACCTCGGTTTTACGTCTCATCCGAAGGACGGCACCTTTTTACAGTATAGTGTCATAATGAAAGATGCAAGTTTACAACAACGAGCACTAATAATTCATGGACCAGAGTATTTTCATTTTAATCTTTCTAGCGGTCTTCTATTATTGCATTTCTCATGGAGGCTTAATTCTGCTAATATCTTGCCCTATGAACCCTTCCGGTTTCTAGAAATAGCCATTGTTCCATTGCTCATACTCAGAAACTCTCCACCTGTTACAGTGACTCATGGAAGGTGTCATTGAACACGTGAGAGTCCTAGAATATTCCCATTAAAACAAGCAAAAAGCAGTTTATGGATTGTGTTTTTAATATCAATCAACAAGAGTATCAGCCAAACAATCATTCAGCGTTAATTTTCCCAAAGGAGACGGCTGAATTCAGAGTGCTTTGAAATTTCAAGGATATGCATCTCAAGTATTTCTTCATTCTGCCCAACTTTTGACTCAAAATCCCAGGCCTAAGGAGGACATTATCAGGAGTTACAGAGGCTGTTATAGAGTGTATGGTTGTTGGTCATATATATTCTCCAGAGGTATGAGGGACTGCACAAACTCAGCTTTATTCATCTTTAGAGCTTTAGTCAGCGTTTTGTGGTGTCCTCAAGGTGGCAGCATTTAGCTATATGTTGTGGGATTGTCCTTTCCTTTTATGCAGTTCTTGATATTGTGTTTTAGGTCCTTAGACAGTGAGTGGGGAAAATGTGTTTATTTTAAGGTAACAATTCTGTGACAAGAACCTCTGAAAGCTCTAACATACAGTCTAATGTTATTTTGTACATGGTTTAATAACTAATATTTAGAAATGTATTTTTGGCAGTTAACAGTCTTGAAAGGTCACAGGTCTTTTTTATACAGCGTATACAGTAGTCATCTCGGACAGATTGTTTAATTACCATGTTGAGATGTATATGGACAACTTTTAAATAAACTGCTTATATTTGAGGTCCTGTCGTAAAACCTGATATAATAAAACATTTTCAGCTTATTAATGAGCGAATGATTATGATTGGTAATCAATACATATTTGTAAACTGGATTAGCTCTATTTAACAAAATGAAATAAGGGAGAAAGATTACATTTAGAACATAAAATAATTTTGACAGAGTTTAACTACATAAGTGGCTAGGGACTGCAGTGGTGTAGATGGCTCCAAAGTACCATAACCTGTTTGTGATGTGATAGTGCTGGTTCTGCTCCTTTCACTGACTTGCTAACCTCTGTATTCTGTACTTTGTTTGCAGGCTGTGGCCCCTGTTTGAATCTGACAGGGGAGGATATTCAGAAGCAGGCCTCGCATTGCAATGACAGAAAGATGGCTTCCAAACGTGTCCAGGAGCTGAGCTCAGATCTCTTTTTTGCTGTTTTTGTGAGGGTAATGATCTATATCTGAGTTGCACATCAGACAGACAGACAGAACTTTACATGTGTTGAGTAACCACAGCACCACAAAGCACAGGGTTTAATACATCACATGAATACACTCATTGCTGTGTTCAAGCGTTCAAAACAGTTTTTCTGCTTCTGGATTGATAGTGTGAGACTGAGGTATTAAACTCGGTTTGAAGTAGCGCTGTGCTCTTATACTAAGGGATCCCCCATGGGTTCAGTGTAATAAAGCTTAACATGCAGCTGCACATCTGTGTTATTATTAAGTGCAAATGTTTCTGCAATTGATACACCAGTTACACCCCACACTGGAGAATGATCCTGCTGATTCTGAAACGTGCATGTGGGTGAAACATGAATTGGAAACTACAACTGTACATGAAGATATGGGTAGCTGCTGACAAGTGGGAGAGAGGGCTCTGGGCATCTGTGGAAGAAGGCCCAGACAGGAAACAAATAGTGATGAGCCATCACAGCAGGAGGCTGTTAACCACTTCTATACTTAGCTACACAGTTCTGTTTTTTAAAGGTCATTTTCTCTTGGTTCTCTACTTGCTTTGAGCAGTTCTTTGGTTGGGGGAAAGCATTGACTTTAGATGATCCGAAGCTTTTCTGAAGCTTTTTAATTTGGTGAAGCTTTTGGAATCTGCCCTCTGCCGATTTTGCAGCAAACTTAATACTAAGTGCATTCTGGGAACTGAGATTTGTAGTGCAGAATAAGTCCCTTTATTTGGCTATAAAGAAGAGCAGCCCTAAACTAATGACCAGGTGTCCATATGTTTGACATGTCATAATGAATGTACAATCTCCTGAACATAACATGAGTTGAGCAACTGATGTGAAGTCCTCTTTCTAGATTTTGGTGGTGAAAATAAATCAGCTGTGCTGGTTTTGTCAACCTTCATTTACCTGTACGCCATACTTTTAGTCCTAATGTTTTCTCATAACTTTGCACTTGATCCTGAAGTGTAAGATCTGATTCTGTCATGATGTTTCGATCTCTTTTAACTGTGCACCTTCTGTACTTTCAGGAGTCTGGCCCTCTGGAGTCTGAAGCCATGGTGATGGGCGTTTTAGACCAGGCGTTTGATGTGCTTGTGCTAAGATACGGAGTCCAGAAGCGGATCTACTGCAATGTGAGTATCAACCTGAACTGTGTTATTAAAGATTAAAGATAAAGATAGAAAGATTGCTGGAAAATGTAGTTCATATTATAACAAGAAGCATATAAATTCCTCCTTTTGTCTGAGATCTGTATTTTTGTAACTACCTCTGTTTTAAATAAGTTGCTTATTTATTTTAAAACACTATATAATGTTAAATTTCCTTATTTAAGATTTGTTAGTAATATGCACTCACAACCCAATAAATAAGTCTGTCTGTCTCCTTGATTGTACAGTAGAAAGTGTCTATTGTATAAAATTCCATATAATTTCATAAAGACATTTTTAAACTTTTGATATTAAGAGGTTTGGAATAATTGTGCATGTTAACCTATCACCTACATACTTGCTAGACAAGGTTGCATTACTAATATATGAATGATTGAATACTTGCATGATAGATTCAGATGCACTGGAGAACTGAAATTATTTTTTTCTCTGATGATGTAACACAATGAATGGAAGTGTTATCTGAGGGGAAAATACAACAGACAACAGTGAGAGCACTAGTTTTTGTTCTTTAATTAATTAATTAGTTCTTTAAATAGGTTTAAGATGCTGCAAAAAGTAGAGCCTATAGCCCACTTCCCTCCTTTATAACACTATTATGAAATAGTTATAAGTAGCCTTTGACATTAAATTAACTACTGCTGTTAACATTATTTTCCAATTCATCAAATTGTTTATATGCTTTACAACCTTCAGTCCCGGGGTAGTAATTATGTTGTGAAACTTGTCTCCTACTTTGTTTCATATTATTCTGGACATGTTTAAGAGACTTAATATGGAGACCGTGCAGTATAAACAGCATAAGAAGTTACTCATTCAGTAACAGAGGACACCCATAATAGAGACCCGCATAGAAGTAACCCATTTCTGACATTGTACCACCACCTGTCTAGCAGTAGAGAGCTGCAGTGTTAATGCTTTTAATCAAAATCCCTGTCTGAGTTTCTGGTTTAGCGCTAGATTTTAGTACTTTCGGTGGATTTTGGCAGATTTTAGTACTTTCCATAGCTGCTTGTGCATGTGGTGCCTTTGCCTGCAGTCACTTTGCTTTCTGCTCTTAATTCATGTTGTTCCCAAAGCCAGACCCCTTTTGGGGTCTTCAGATTTATGGAATGTCGGTAATCACACTGTTCACACATCATTTCAGATTCTCTCAAATGAATCGCATCTCCTTCCATCACCCATCCATCCATTTTCTAACGGCTTTATAAAGTTCAGGGTCAAAAGGGAGCTGGAACCCATCCCAGCCAGCAGGGGCACAAGGCAGGGTACACCTGGAGCGCCCACCCATTGCAAGGCACACAGACAGAGAAACGCACACGCACACCACAGCCAGTATTCCCAGAAGCCAGTTAACCCCCCAGTACAGTGTGTCTTTGGACTGTGGGAGGAGAGCAGATAATCCAGAGGAAACCCACATGGACACAGGGAGAAACTACAAACTCTACACAAACCCCAAGTCCAGAATTGAGCCCGGGGCCCCAGTGCTGTGAGGCAGCAATGATAACCACTACGCCACCCGACTCGCATCTCCTTCTTGATAATTATATACCGGATATAGCAGCAGAAACTTCGGTCAGTTTGTTAATGAACAAATCCTCAGGGTTCTTCCACAAACTTTGGTCTTTCTCTGTTCTAAACTTACTTAGTTCATCATGCCATCTTGTGGGAGGTCCTCTTCTTTTTCTTCATTTTCGGTCTTTTGTACTTTGTTCTGTGTCTAGCCCATTGTCTTTTTAGTCATTTATAATAATATCACATGCCTCTGTCCACACTTCATTGAATCATCTACAATTTATGTTTCATACTTGAAGCACAAGCAGCATTTGCTAGTCAAAGCCTTTTGGGGACATAAAAGCATTATTCTTCCCAAGGTCCTAATACATAACTCCACATATACTGTAAATAGATCTTTTACTCAATTTTAGAGAATTGAGTTAGCTGGTTCACAATTTTACTTTGAAGCCAACATCATTACTTTGTCAACTTTCTACATTTTAAACAAAAACGTATGTGCACTGTTAAATTTGTTTGAATATGTATGTACAGGTATACAAACATCTTCTTCCTCCTGCTCTTATATTGTTATAATGGGAATTTAATGACGCTTAAACACATTTATGTTTTTATTAGCTCAGCTCCTCAAGTATTAAATACCTCAGGGACTTAAATCGTTGCCACATTTTATTTAAGCTTTCAGAGATTAATGGTTTCCAGATAATGGCTCATCAAGCACAATCTGCCTTTCCCCGTGCTACGTCCTAACACCTGCATCAGACTTTGTCCTTATTTAGTTTATGCTTCGCACTCTGTACTTTTGTACATCTTGTACCATAAAATATCAGTGTCCTCTCTCAAATGACGTTTGCAATTCGCTAGTCATTGAGATTAGGATGGAGCTACAACAAAAAACGTTTTGGTAGGGGAAAAGGCACGTTTTCTTCATGTTTGGAGTGCTGGTTTAGCTTTAATTTAGTCTTTTTTGTCTTGGTTACTCGAACATGGTAGCCCTGCAGTGGGTCCAAATACATCTAGTACCGACAATGTTTCTTTTTTTAAGAAAAATTGCAAAACACATCTTATTACCAAACAAAATAGATTCAGACAACAAGAATGTATGTCAAGCTTTCAGTAACTTTCATAGACAAAATGCTTTATTTGTTAAATGTTTTCTGTGATCGTCCTGAAACAAACTGAAAAGATAGAGGTGACCCTTTTAATATTAGGAAACACATTAGGGTCCTTGACTGGTGCTTAAGCCTTGAACTGAAAATTCAAAGACCGCAATGAACAACACAGTGAGCATCAAGAGACTGTGGACTGATCCGTCACTTGTGCTCCTTGCTCAGGCTTTGCAAGGTCTGAAGGAGTTCCAGTTTCGTAAGGTGGGCAAGAAGCCAGAGATGACACTGACTTGGGAGGCTGTGGGCCCAGGAGAGACACCTTCTCGCCAGGTATGACAGCAGACCAATTTAGCAGTAAAGGTGCTGCCTTAGCCTTCATCTTCAGCGACGGGATGCTTAGCCTGATTGTGAATGTGTTACGTTTTGCTTGCTCAGGGGCCAGGTGAAAAAAGTGTAATACATTGTCTGGGGATGAGAATGGAAGTGGTTAGCATCCTTTATTCTCCCATTCATATTTCAACAGTTTCGGATAGTATTCATTTTATGTACCAACTGGAAACACTTCTCTTTCATTAACTTAAAGACTTAAATCCACTTTTTTGCTAATAATGTTAAATTTCCATTCCAAGCGTTGGGTTGTGCTTTTTGTGCATTTTTACTGTGCTTGTAACTGATAACGTCCCTTGTTCGATTTGTTAAATATTAACAGATAAGTGTAACAGTGGGGACATTGCTCTGAAAAGTCTCCCTGCACCAGGGGTTTATGTTTTTGATGCACTTGGCTTGATGTTTGCCATGACTAATGACATGTTGCTTGGAAGATTGATCCAGGGTCAAACTCCATATGGTCTACTGTTCCATTTAAGTATAACATTCTTCTACTCACTGCGTTGCATGAAAACATTTGGAGCCGATTGTGTTGTATGTATTGTGATATGAATTCACTTCGTTTCAAGACAGTGAAGCATGGGTTTCTTATAGTAGTTCAGGTGGGTAGCTGCGTCAGCATGCGTAGGCTCCAAAGGAACAAGTAATAGGTTTATTCCATGCTGAAAAAAAGAAGAAAGTGATAGTGTTTGTTTTCCCTGTGCACTGCTCAAGTCTGAATTGCTTTATTACTATGACTTCTGTGGCCTTTCAGAGAACAGCAGCATCTGTTAAAGCTAATTTAGGGGGTAATAAATGAGAATTCATTAAATTCCTTTTGATTTCCTTCAGTCCTTATGAGTTTGCACTCGATTAATAGGTTGAGGAAGATGACACATTAACCAGTGAACCTTACACTGGAGGCATCGCCTGCGCAGTTTCAATGTTTATAATAGTAATTCCTTTCACTTAAATAGCGCTTTTCTGGACACTCCACTCAAAGCGCTTTACAGGTAATGGGGACTCCCCTCCACCACCACCAATGTGTAGTCCCCACCTGGATGATGCGACAGCAGCCATAGTGTGCCAGAACGCTCACCACACACCAGCTATCCGTGGGGAGGAGAGCAAAGTAATAGGGATTATTAGGAGGCCATGATTGGTAAGGACCAAGGGGAAATTTGGCCAGGACGCTGGGGTTACACCCCTACTCTTTTCAAGAAACGCCCTGGGATTTTTAATGACCACAGAAAGTCAGGACCTTGGTTTTATGTCTCATCCGAAGGACAGCGCCTTTATACGGTACAGTGTCCCCTTCACTATACTGGGGCATTAGGGCCCACTCACACTGCAGGGTGAGCGCCCCCTGCTGGCCCCACTAGCACCTCTTCCAGCAGCAACCTTCGTTTTTCCCAGGAGGTCTCCCATCCAGGTACAGGCCAGGCTCACACCTGCTGAGCTTCAGCGGGCTGCCAGTTGTGAGTTGCAGGGTGATGTGGCTGCTGGCTCAGCAATGTTCCCGTCTAACATAAGCACTTTCAGATTACGTTTGACCGTACAGATTGCTGTACCCAAAATGTTTTGTCCGTGTGTCACTTACTATGATGTCAGCGAAATGAAAAGAGAGAGAGAGAGAGAGAGCTGCTGCCTCCACGCGAGTCTCACTGCCAGGACTGTTCTGTTGTTCTCAGGATATCTCCATCTTCACTCTGGTGGACGTGGTGCTGAAGGCCGATGGCGCCCCGATGAAATACAGCGCAGTGTTGAAGCAGCCTTCTGAGAAAACATCACAGAACTCCACAGACTCCGAGTAAGGCTGAACACAGAGCCAAAAAAGTACAAAACATACCAAACCTGCAATGAGGAGGCACAGGCTTTGTTTTAAAAAGTGTTTCACAAGCACAGACCATCTCGTTCATATTTTATCTTTTTACTTTAATTTTTAAATTGGTAAAGTTTAGAACCATATTTATTCTCTGCTGACTGTTTTGGGGGATAAAATAGAACTGGGGGCCAAAGCAGTTAAATGAATGAACTGGTTTTTTTTTTATTATTGGAGATATAGATTTCCCTAATTATTCAGTGTATAGTCTGTGCAAACTTAATTTTATGAGACATTTAAGTTTTAGGAAGAAGCTTTAAAGTTATTGAAGCTTTAAAATTATTAGGAATCTTGGAGATTGTAGGAGCCTTCAGCTGAGAATTTAATAATGAAGAAAGAACTGTTCCCCCTAATTAATTTTACATCACAATATATCATTGTGTTAGGTGGATGACTTTTATTACTTTACATTCTCATTAAAGAAGCCAAGCCAAACTGAAGACATTTTAAATACCTCATTTAATTTTTCTCATGCATTTACAGAGTAACTTTGAAAGCCTCAATTGATTACAACTGCAAAGACATCATAGAAAAGTTCTGATTATTTAAACAGAATTAAATTATAATGTCTTAAGGCACTGTATACAGCGGAATTGGGCACATAAATGCAGTTAATACATTTTTCATTTTTTGTTCAATATTGGAAATGTAATGGCAAATCTTGATTTTATTTTTTTCATGTACAGAATATAAAAAATGTTTACTTGATGGACATTCACCTGTTTAGGGAATGATATTGCCACTTCTTACTTTAATGTTTACAAGTGCTTGTAAAATTGAACATGATTTTGTGAATTGCACCCATGATGCAAGTGCTGTAACTTTTACTCTGAGGCTTAGTTTTACATTCTGTATAATATTTTTTGTAATTTCAAGTGTTTTTTAGTGTTTTTAAGTGCTGACATTTTTATGATGTCTGTTAACATCGTCTGTGTGCAAAACTATAAATGAAGGAGAAAGTCCTGTTAATAGGTTCAAGTGTGTCCTGTTCATCTTACAATAATGAGTAATGTGAAGCTAGCGGACAGTTCCTGTCTAGATCAATAAATTTGAACCATGACATGTTAAAGCACTACAGACGCCACAAATATTCTTGTTCATTTTCTTTTTATAATTATGCTTTTTACCCCAAATATTTACTTTCAATTTTTAGTGACTTAATCAAAGGGCTTCCCTGTGTTTCAGCTACACTTTTGAAAACCTTTTAAAATAATGGAAGAATCTTGTCTTTTACTTATTGTATCTGCTTTTTTTGCTACCTGAAGAAGAGTTAATGCGTTATATTGCTTTGAAAAAAAAAGACTTATTTATTAATGTCAATTCAGAAGGCTTGTGCTGAATGGTTCCCTGTGATATTCCTAATCACATGGAATGTAAACATATTCAGAAGTCAGAACATCTTTAAATTGGTTGAGCTGTAAATAAAGCATTCCCAGTAGATGTGTTGAGTATGTCTGCATGATGGTGAAGTTAGCATGACCAAAATTCTATGTATTGTACATCTGTTTTTTTTTTCCTGTTTATTTTAAATTATCTTTCCTCTTGGGGTTTTATTTCATTGTTCAGGTTTTTGCCTTATTTTCAGGTTCAGATTTTTTTCAGGTTTTGCCTTATTGTACCCATATATTTCCTGGAACTTTAATTTGAAATGTTGTGGGGAAAAGATGTTCTTTTAATTCTGAGGCATGTTTTCTGTTTTCTTTGCTTGATCAGTGAAATACATATTCCTCACTACTGTATGAAGCCACGACCATCTGTTCCTGTGAGAATTTGTGCCAGAATGAAACATTTCAGTACTGTCAAACTTCATTATACAGCCCACAAACCTGTAATTATTTTCTTTTGGCTTTTTGAAAGTGTCCATTGTTTTTATTTTTTGGCATAAAAACCTTAATTTGGATGCAGTTTAAGAGCTTCATGTTAAAATATTTTTTTGGCCAAAATATGAAGTAACTTTTTTGTCTGAATTTTGTGTGTTACAGCATCCGCCGAATTAGAAATAACATTTTAACCTTTTTGAGCATCCTATAGTTTTATTCTCATTTTATATCTACTGTAGCAATGTAATTCCATAAAATTTGCCTGATTGTCCTGATGAGATAACAAGAACTAATGCATAATCTGGTACGCCTGAATACTTGATAATGACTGTATGAGTACTACAGCGATGTGTAGTTAGTCATTTCCAATTAGGAATGGTTTGCAATTAAAATAGACAGTATACTACAGTGTTAATCCTGAAGAAAACCATTCTGCTTTTCTTTTACTTCTCAGAATGAACCTTTACAGCTTCCTTTGGAGCTTTCACACTGATACGACACCCCCTTCTAACTGTTAATGTTATATGTGTACACACTGTATGTGCAGTGATTTAAATTAAGCAGTCTGACTCACCTAGTATGTGAAACTTAAAGACAATTATCTCATGGAGTGGAAGAAGGAAATCTGCTTTTTCTTCTACATGAAGCCTTATGAACATGAGACATCCTATAAGGATAAAAATTAGTATGCAAGTTAGTCTTCCACTGATTTCTTTATTAATACAGGAGTGTTTTAATTTTTATTTTTCAGCCAAGACCGCAAGAGTCAGGTCTGCAATAGTAACTGTTAGCAGAAGAGATTGCTTGTGTAAACTTGTTTCTCTTCCCTCTTCTGCGGTGCTGTCTGGTGTAACCTGTAAAGGGGTGATGGGGTGTAACTTGTAGACCTTATAAAAAATGTTAATGCTGCTATGCGTCAAAGGTGGGGGGGGGTGGGATTTGTGCTGTTTAAAGGCATTTAACCTGAGCACAAATTCAGCTTCACAATCCAGACTTTGTAACATCAGGTCTGAGTCATTTCACTAGATTGCCCAAGTGGTGGCATCTTTTTGGTAGGGACACTGCCAGAGGGTAGAGTTGGGGTTAAGGAGAAACGGCTGTTTTGGGTTCCAATGACATTAAGAGACCCGTCCAACTCCCTGGGCACTTGGCGGGTGACATCACCGAGGAGCATGCCAGTCCTCCAGCTGGCACAGGACCTCCGGTGTCGCCCAGCAGGGCATCAGAGCCTCTGTGTGGCCCGTCTGCGCTCCCTCGGTCTCCCGGCAGGGTACAGGCATGGGCTCCGTGACCTGAGACGTGAAGAGACAGCGACTGGCGAGTCCAGATTGGACATGTGGGCCATAACAGAGGGCGGGGGCAGGAGTGAGACCCCACTCATGTCTGACGTGTTTGTTTACTTTGATCATCTTGCTGCTCTGTGGATATAAATAAAGCACTTTTACCCCCTCTGACACTGTAACACTTTTTTCGCCATACTGTACACACAAATCATAATGGGCAGTCTGTTTCAGATCAATCTGGACAAAACACTTGTGAAATACCATAATTAATATGTGAAAAACAATGCTGAAATGCTGATTAAATTCCTGTTGTTCTACTTAATTTTGTGTAAAGTTAAATACATTCTGACTACTTTCTGCTGAGCCTTTCATTTCTATATTGAGATCATTCACAGAGAACATGTTCATTGCAACTAAAATTTCGATTTCCAGTACTTTCTTTCAAGAGAGTCAAGAGAAAGATCTTTGTTGCTATACTTCAAACTGAGTAGTACAGTAGCTGTAAGAAAAAAGATGGGGAACAAAGTCTGCGATACATCGGCTTAGCATGAAACCCAGGGCCAAGCCCTTCGCCATTTGAAAATGTCTTTGGCAGGAGGTCCAATGAACTGTTAATTACAGACACGTGGTGTTTGGTCTCTGTGAACTTTGGTTCGTGCTTTGGAGAAAATATCCAGCTTTGACTTTTAAGATAATGCGATGTTGTTAAACATTGTCAGATACAGTAAATTTGTATCTTACTAATGTATGCTTTTGATCTTTTTAATGTCAATGAGGTTTGGTTTGAGGTTTTGACATGATCTGATTAATAGACTGGCTATGTAAACAGTTTTCAAAATTCATCTCGACACGAAACAGCAAGAGTTTTGAGTTTCAGGCGTTCCTCCATTTACTGTAACTACTTGAAAAATCTCCTTGCGTGGCAGTTTGCTCTAAAGTAGCAATTGACTTGGTGTAAGCTAATAAAACACAGAAGAGGTAAGAATCCTTATCTCATTGTCCACATTGATAATGCACACCCATTTTATATGAGGGGTTTGGTTAAGTCATTCCAGAATAGATGAGGTTGTAGCCGATATTTAATCATATTGCCCAGAGTATACAGTAACTATATTGGCTATGTGCTGTAAATAGATGTTTTCCTATACCTGAAAAAGAATTAAAACCATTGTGGAAGTATGACTTAAGACATTGTGTTTGCAGTGGTAGTGAGCCATCTTTAAGATGTGTTTTATTCTGAGATAAACTTCCTTTGCTGGTTAGTATTATGGAAACTGTACTTCCCTAAGTAAGGTTTCAATATAAATATTTTTTATTTAGTGCAATCCAATCGTTAATTTACCCAAATACATTGTTCTACACCCGGTCACTCAATGATCAATATATTTGCTCTGCAATTTGGTATTCCATACAGAAGAAAATCAAACAAAATAAAATTGAAGAACTCAAAAAATGATGCTCATCAAAAGCAATAACATTGTGTTGCCTGAACAGCCTAAACAGGGAAGAACATTGTGAATAATGCACTTATTGAATCCAATCCAAGTGAATCCAATTTGATTATCAGCTGTCATTAGCGTGAAACAAAATCAGATTTAATACTGTAAGCAAGGTGAAATAAATGGTTTTAATAAAATGTTCCTCTTTCCTGCTTTACTGATCAATACAAAATTCACAAGTGTCCATTGCAGAAACTTGTTTTTATACAAAGCACATTCATATCCACATACAGTAGGTATTTCAGATTGAAAGTCCTGTAAATCAGCAGACTTTGTCATTGTATGAAAAATTCTTGACAGATATAAGAAGGGACCAGAGGATAAAAATGTAATTCCTTTCAATATTACACTGACATTATTTTTCATCTCGATTTACCACCTGCTAAATTTGGAAAAAAAAATACTAATAAGTGGGACTTACATTCCTTAAAAGAAACAAAACGCCTGCTGCTCTAGTTACTGACTACTAAACTGTTTTAACATATTGGAAAAATTCTGAACTCCATAACTTTTGTTTCAATTTGTCTTTGAAGAGTTTTTCACTAAGACGATGATAAGAACCCAAGATACTAAAGAGCATTAATACAGCTGAAAGAAAAATTGGATATTGAGGACTTAATCTCTTGCATGAATTCACACAGACTCTGAGGTTAGAACAGCTTTCAACGACATAACACTTATAAATCCTGCAGACTGAAATGATTACAGTAAAAATATTAAGCAGATATAGAATATATCTTTCTAATTATGCATGTATTTATAAAAATAGATTTTGATTAAAGGTTTTTGGAATCATTTTCATTAATCGATTTCTCATGATTGGCTGTGATACATTCAGGTGACGTCTGTAAATCACATTATTAGTGAGAAAAGTTGATTAGGCTCAGGTGTTGAGGTGATTTAACCTGTTGAATGTTAAGCCAGGTGAAAACTGAGAAAGGAAAATACAGAAAATCGCCAACACACCCCACTTATCAAGGGGACAACACCTTCATGCCATCAGTATGCTGGAGACAGGACCGAATCAACACATCACTTGTAGTCGTGGTGTTCAGAGTCAGCAGTTTCAATCCTGGCAAGACATTGGAGCCAAACAGTCTGGCAACGACATGGATCTGGGAGATCAGGAGTCATGACACCTCACCAAGATCGAAGGAGAGTTCCAAGTGTAGTGGTCTGGGTAAGAGTGTCGAATGTAATCCCTGCAGAACTCCAGTTGCTGATGGTTTGGGAAACGAGAAGCTTCATGTCCTGAGGAACCCAGGTAAAATGGACACAGCGAGGAGGAGGCTGACAGAGCCATGACTGCCACTTCCTGAGTTGGGCTCTGGGGGACAGTCGGTATAGGGCTCAAGACAGGCAGCGTAGGCCAGCACATGGGCTATGTAGTTCTGCTCTTTCACTCCATGAAACAGGTGAGCCATGGGACCCTGGGCAAAAATGGCCACATCTTCCCCACCATGCGTCTCGGAGTCCAGGGGAACAGCAGCCTGCTGCATGTACTCTTCATCCACTGGCAAGACCGGAGCAGAGGCAGAGAGACAGACAGGGGAGTGAGAGACCAGCACCCAGAACCGCTAAACTCCCATCCAAAATACTGGGCAATGCTAACACGAGCCTGGTTCATTTTGAACTTGTACCAGAAACTGATAAGGTGCAATATGAAGAGAAAGAAAAAGACAACAGATGCCATATAGAAAAAAGCTTTAACTGTAATGCATATGGACAGGGCCACTATCGTCAGTGTCTTTAGAAGTGCAGGCGGATCTTAAATCTCCTACGATTTGGTAGAACTTAGTTGATTAATTACCTCTACCATCCACCAGGTTACACTAATAAAAGGGTTAACTTACTTATTTCAACTAGCTCACTAACTTGGGAGTAGCAATCAGAAGTCTTACACTGTAACAGCAGTTGGAGCCAGTTATCACATCGTTGCACTCGGTTGGCCTCCAGACCATGTGGATATATATTATGTATCATTTAATGTCTGGAATGCAGATTACTTGCACAGTTCCCTAGCTCCTGCCATGATTCTTGTCTTTTGACACAATCCACTGTGATTCAGATGACATATTAATGGATAAGTTCAAAATAATACAGTACCTAGATAATTTAATATGTGTAGCTGAAAAGGGGTACAATTATCTTGCTTTTTCTATAAATGTGAACAGTTGATAATTTGTCTCTTACTTTAATTTTTGGCCTTGAGAAATACAAGCTACAGAATATTGCTATAATGATGCACCACTTCTTTGGTATATATCAACCCTCACTTCCAAAATAACGTGAACTATGGATATGTACATTGTGATCCCTCCTGTCGATTTTTGTTTTGTGCTACTAATACTAATAAAATATCAGAATACAATTACTACATACATAAATGTGATAAGTGCATTTACCATATTTTTTAAACTATTTAAAGAGGAAAACTAAAGTACTAAAGTTACTACCAACAATTATAATCCAACATCAGATTTTTGGAAAGCAAGAGAAGTATCTATTTAACACAGCCAGATGAATTTACTAAAATTCATTCCCTGGTAACAAATTCCTGTGACAAAGGGTGACATGCGATGATTCAGTATTTTTGTGCAAATTTGTCTGTAACAACCTCAATCACGTATTTTAAAAATTCTACCTGTACAGGTGTTAGTCAATTTAAAGAATAGAAGACATACACATCTGAACATACAGTACACATAGACATACTGTACACTTACAGTAATCAACGTAAGTAATATTTGCTCTTGTGCCATTTTCAAGCAGATATCCTGGTCCGTTGGCATACAGGATACTGGTATATGGCAAATCATCTTCAGCCATCTCTGGGACTAGACCTAAGGAAAAAAGATCTGTACACTTTACATTTTAATGGCTATTTTTCCCAAATGCTTGAGTTTTAGAAAAAAGAATAAGTTAAATTAGACATAAAGTTGTACAATTTGCAAAATACCTTTATCATCTTTCACTTTAACAAACCTTTTGCTTAGGGACTGACTTTAGTTTTGAAGGAATCTCTTGCTTAGGCTTTTTTAAGCTATGCTCTGGTCAGGCCCTCCCTGTGCGTATTATGAGAATGCTCACACAGCCGGAATGATTGGGAGGAGCGTACCGAAAATGGGATTCCCTCTGGGGGTGTTTCCCCCGAAGGTAAAGACATGGGAGTGGTCAGCGGTGACGACGGTCAGCGTGTCGGAGTCTCTGGTCAGCTGGGAGGCACGCTGAATGGCCCGGTCAAACATAACCGCCTCTGTCAGGGCCAGCTTGGCAATGCCATCATGGTGTCCATGGTCAATTCTTCCTCTTAAATCAGATCAATACAATAAGATGCATCCTCACTTACGTACTGTAGATAAGAGTACTTTACAAAAATATACTATCGGAACAAAACCCAAGCCTTCCATAAGAAGTAGTCACAGTTCCAGTCTTTATTTACAGAGGGAAGGGCAGTCTCAAAGGCAAGAGCCCAATAGCACCTAAAACCATTGACTGGTATTTGTGCTGAACCAATGATGGTGGTGGCCTGGAATTGTCCCCAGTGAATTTGAAACCTATCTGATAAAATGGGGAAAAACATGGGAAATAAGACTTTCTGCTTCATTTCAGGTACAGTAGGAGCAAGCCATTTGACTCACTGAATCCGAAAGACTGGCAGCCTTACGTCCTACTCCTAGCATAAAGAATATCTTAAAAATCATGGTTGCTGCTAAAGAATGAAATAAGGTAATTCTACTGCTCATTTTAGGCAATAAACAAGGTCCACAGGATTTCAGGCTGATGTCTCCTGTGCTGTATGTGGAAATGTAAGGGGATACTTATCCTCCACAAAGAGAAAAAAGCCTTTCGGGTTCTTGCTGAGGATCTGAATGGCTTTTTCAGTCATCTCTATTATAGAAGGATCCCGTGTGGAGTTGCGATATAACTCAAACCTCATGTCTTTGGCCTCAAAAAGACCTGGAATCCAAAAGATGTTGTTTTAACTTCTCAACTTCTCAACGCAGAGAAGGGGCTCAGTATTCATAGGGATATGATTTTTAAACCCATGCAATGTAATAAATGTTTATTGTGGTGAGATAATATTGTTATACTTTCTTCTTTTTGCTGGCCTCTGCATTGCAAGTTTTTACGTGGAAGGACTAAATAACATAAAAACAGGATAATTAAAATTATTAGAAGCTTGTAAACCTAATAAATTGATATATAAAATAAAACCAAGCACTGGCCATAAGCATTAAGCTGTGTGCTAGAGTTTGCTGACATATTTAAGTATTAACTTGAAATTGTAAATCAGAGGTTGAACTACAGGAACATGATAATGTCTTCACAAAACTGGAAAATATCACAAACTGTGGTACTATTTCTCTCTTTTCTGTCTGTAATATGCAAAATAATCCGTAACTATCCCCTGCTACAGATTAGCTGTCTGTTCAGCACCAAACAAATGCCATTACCCATGAGACAGTTGGTTGAATTTACATCCACGGCATCGAATTGCTCTTTGTGCCACACGTATTGCGCATTCTTTGACTGTAATAGAAAAATAAGAAAAGATTACTGCTAGGATTTCATTCAAATAACAGACATTTCCTTAAATCATTTTAACAGGTCCAGAACTTTGATGATTTAGCGATTTGGATCATGAAGGAGGTGGTTGTGCTGAACACTGGGAATGATTCAACGGTCTAGTCCTTTTCAAGGCTCATCGTCCAGAAGGGCAGTTAATAAGAGTGCAGCGTGACCTCTGTTCTGCACAGTGAACCTCCGAGATGAGCAGTACCTTCCGTGCCTCCAGCCACAGCTCAATGAGGTTTTTCCCGTCTTTCCGCTTGCCGCGGCGGGAAGACGATGTCGGGTACTCGGGATCTGGGGTCCCCTTGGGAGTCATGTACATCCGCCCTCCTCCTAGGATGACCTTTGGGGCGACGACAAGATGGTGAAGATCGTTGGATTTTTTAGTTCTCAATTTATGGCTGTTTTTTATAGGTAACTGTTCCTATGCTGAAAACCAGACTACAACATTTCAAACTTCAATAAATTCAATACATTAACAGTGATAGAAATAGTGAAAATAGCAAACTGGTCTTCACAGAGTACCTCATGTGGCTTTTCCTGTGAATTCTTACTTCAGCTTTCAGCTGAACTTGTACTCCCTCCAACAGCCTTAACAGACAAAATGAAGGTTTGCTGTTTGTATATACAACGAGACATTCGATTAAAAACTGTGCGTTGTCCACTGCCCTTTGACATTCTCAGACCTGCAAAGAGTGAAGCCCCTGCAACAGTCTCTCTCTACAGTTAACAAGGCCTTACGTCTATGTCGGTGTTGAAAACCAGCTGCGTGGCCAAGTCTTTGCAGCCATCTCTGAGGGCACTGGAGGAGAGGTCGGCATCGCTGTACCAGCTGCGGCTCACAGAGTGGGCATAGGAGGCCGCAGGAGAGGCGTGCTGGACGCGGGTGGTGGTCACAATGCCCACGGATTTGCCTGCAGTGACCAGACACAAAGACCTGAGACTCTTCCATACGCAGCTACTGTCCCCATTGGGAAAGCTGTGCTGAATTTATCACATCAGGAGCCCAGCTCTTGTTCCTTATTTCTGCTATCCAGCCGGTGTTATAGGTCTCTTCTTCTTCAGAACAAGGAAAGGCTTTAACTCATCTATTTAAGCCAAAAATGAGCTGAATTAAGTAAAAGTGGAAAGAAATACAGAAACCTTCTGGCCTCCCAGGACTGGAGCTGCACACCCTAGCATTAGTTGAATCTCCTGATATGAGGTGTTCTTGCCATAATGTACAGTAGATGTATTAAAGCTTCATGAACCTGTTCTTGGACTTATTTTAGGGTCACGTCTGTTTACTACTAACTTAAGAACATTAATCATAATGAAGACAATTCAGAGTTCTTTCACCAAGAAAATCATTTCATAATTGTTAGGGAAGCAGCACATCTTGAGAGAAATGTTGCTGCAGAGCCAACATCAAACATCAATTAAACCAATGCAGTAATAATGGAATTACTTTTAGCTCTCCTGAAATTGTTTTCAGCTTTTGCACGTTGGAAGCTTCCTTTTAACTATTGGATTTTACAATTGATTTGCAAATCTCTACATTCAGAGGAGACACAAACGGGTAACCATTAAGCAAACTCATTGCTTCAATTAATGATAGTTCAATTAAATAGCCGAGAGCTTCATTGGCAGGGGTCATGGGATCCCCAGGATCTCCAGTGTTTCCCAACTCTCTCGGTGTTCTTCCAGCTGAGCTAATTGGCAAACTAATTGATTTCCATTTTCTCTCTGAGGTAAGGTATACACTGTGGTTTAAAGTTTGCTTTCAGCATTTACCAATCTAAATGGGACTGGAGTTGGCTATGAATGCTGTAAGGGTTTGAGTTTCCTGCCCATGACGAGACTAGGGGCTTGAGACAACGTGGTGACTATAAATTACTTTCACAAACTTCACGTTTTTGGACTTAATACGGAATTTGTTGAATTTCCATCAATTAATATACCGTCAATTAATATATTTTGTTACCAAAATTTAACAACCGGTCTGAGGAATGGGTCTGCAGGTCCCCTGGAAGAGGCCAGTTTAAGTGCTGGTCCCGGAGACCCCCATAGCTGTAGACATTCATTGCAGCCGAGGTCTTTACATAAATGAACCAACAATTTGCTTGGCTGGATCCAGAGTTTATTTTTCCTAACCAAAGCTTAGAGATTTTAAGCTACACAATAAACTCAAAAGCTACAAGGCAACCTCCTAGACGGTTAGGCACTGAAAACAACATCAAGATGTCAAGCTAAACCTATTATAAGGTCTATTAAGTGTTAGATTATTTGAGTGTTCGGGTGAAACAAAAACCAGCAGATGTAGAGTCCCCAGGACTAGAGACGTCTGCTCTAGAGGGTCTGTCTCTTGTCGAACATAAGCCATTGCCATTTCGGGGAAGCAAAGGGTGAATTCTGCCATGTAGAAACCCCCTCAAGAGCAGGCAGCCTAAGCCGGTGCACTGCTCATCACTGTGAGTCCTGTCTGTACCTTGGGCCTTGGCGCGGTGCAGCACTGAGTACACCTCGTTGCCGAAGGTGCTATTGCACTTGTAGGCCACAGCGGCGGCGCTCACTCCCACTGTTTTGGCATTGGCCTTCACTCCACAGAGGTAGGCGGTGCCCGTGCTCGCGCTGTCTGCCACCTGCATGTCAACGCTGTACGTCTGGAGAAAACACACGCCGCAGTCACTTGTGGACCTACTGTATGGGGGCTGCGGGATGGGAATTACTGACAAGTACCTGGTCACAGCTTGATGGCGACTTTCACAATAACCTCAGTAATTATGCAATTAAAACTGATTTTCTGCCGTCGCATTGCGACTATGCTTCCAATATGTTGTGAAAAGATATTTCAACTGGACCTTCTCTCTTCAGTTATAATCTAACCTGAAGTCCAGTGACCAATGTTTTAATATTAGTCTTTGTCAAATTGTATTTTGCATTTTGCGCCTGTCTGCCTTTCAGTGTTGCAAATTGACCTGACAAACAAGACAATCAGTAAGTGATAAGGGCACAATACTGTGTTATCTACTGGGCTGTGAGTGTTCTTTTTTCTTCTAATCCCTTTTTTCCCCATCCTATAACAGACAGCCTGGTTGCCTGAGCCTCAGCCGAGCTCACCTTGGAAAGAGCGAGGTGTGGGAAGGTGTCCATGGTCAGAACTGTCTCTTCCCCGGAGTTCCCCTCCATCTGTCCCTTCAGGATCCGGGTGGCCGAAACGGTGGAAACTCCCATTCCTGTAAGAGGCACTGACCATGCCCTCATCCATAGCAGCAGATAGAGGAGAAAGAGTAGCCTGCGCTACTTGTTCTTGGGTTTTTAAATTACAGTACTTCACATATGCTCAGATATGTTGAATTCTTCATCTGCATTCACTTTTGTGATGCAAACCACTGGCATGTGGTTTGCGGATGAAACAAATGGCTGTTGCAGCGTCCCCACTAAACAGAGCGTACCACTGTGGTCATGGGTTAAACTGTGGCTTGTACGCAAAGCACTCTGGGAATCTGGAATTGATTAGTTTAGCCAATTGGTTTAGCACAGGTTTGCCTGGTGTTACTCTCTTGCTGGTGTACAAATATATCTTCGTTATAGATACTTTAATTAATTAATTTTTGATTCAAGCAAGATTAACCATGCTCCCCTTTTATTCTCACTTTGGTTTATGGTTGTAAGATAAGTCAGGAAGAAAAAAATTACAAGAACGAGACAAGACCAAAATTAATTTGGATTTTCTCTTAGAAACAGGTAGAAATGCAAGTGAAAATCAAAACCTTTGATCTGAGATAATCTAATTTAAAAGTCCTTCGGGCTTTGCTTTTGTGTAAAGAAATCAGCTCAGAAAACATCAGCCCTTCTTCTCTATCTCCTGACACTCAGAATCCTACACCAGTGGCCAAGTGGATTATACAGATAAGGAGAACCAATGCTTCAGCAGTAAAAACAGAGGCAGATACGGGTGTTATTATTAAAGTTAAGGATATATCAGGCTTTGTCAGCAATGGGACGTGCTTTTAGAATAACAGGGAGAGTCCATCAGGAATTACTCATGCTTGTTATTTTTTGAAGTCTGTTGGAACACATGAAGGACTTCAGGGCCATTTGCGAGATGCCCATTTTTCCCTGAATTGCTGAAGTAGAGCTTCTCCCTTAGGAATTTGCTTATTCTGTAACACGGTGCGGAAAGATAAGTTAGTGATGAGTGTCCCCCGGGTATGAGGTAATGTGCAAACCATGAATATGAGTCGGATTAAATTGTGAAAGCCTTGCTTTGTGTTGCCCACTTTAAATGTTCTTGTGACACGGGTTGACGCTGTGCTGCGTTTTACCGTCTCCCAAGAAGAGAATGATATTCTTGGCGCGGTGGGAGATTGGCTTCATTTTCAGAGCCGCCTGCAGTGTCTCCTTGGCCTGGGTGTTCCAGTAGGCTGGGTCCTTCTCCTGCATGGGTGTAGCTGCTCAGAGGTAAAATCAGGCCAGGGCTTGTCACTCTCCTGTCCTCTACAGAGAGGAATACTGTAGGTCTATTCCCCAATTACATCCAGTGCTTGTGAGTGCCCCGTTAGGAGGAGCAAAATCATTAATGCATGCATTCAGACAGGGTTAGTGACTGAAATGTAACATTTCTTTTTGTGCTTTGTAAAGGCTTATACCTAAAAAATGTAACATTTCTTCCAAGGCACAGTGATTGGTACTCTGATTGATACAGTATAGCTATGGTAAAATCAATGCACGTTTTTTGGTACAATAAATGCTCGCTTTTTGAAAAAAATGGAAAGCTGCATGCGAGACACAAACACACTAATCTAACCATTAAAAATATATCAAGCAGAGTCTGGTAAAATGCATGCAATTTTGCCAGTAAAAATCATGGCACTGCGAGTAACACACATGTCAGACTGACCTGAGAGAACACCTGTTAGAAGAAATGCAGCTAGTAGTCCCAGGACCATGCTTTGCTCCATGCGGTGAATCATGTTGTGAAATGTCCCTGAGCACCAATTCAAGAGCGCTCAAATCTCTAGGAAGGGGCTTTTAAACCTAGGGTGTGTTGCAAGACAGGGCCCTGACCAGCACTCATAGGTCAGTAGAGAAAAAGGAAGCTGACTTCAGAAAAGACTGAACCCCCCTTCTGAAACACCCCTTTTAGTAACAGCCAATATCATTGTTTCTTTAAGAAATGTTTTTTTTTTACTTTTCTGGTACACATTGACATTTTTTTCTTGTGGATTCTCTGTTGTAATACAAATGAATGAAAACCACAGATGTCTTCAATACATTTCACCAGTTCAGTTCAACAACTTTGGTAATAATCTAAAATGTAGTTTTATGCTGATTTGTGTTTGAAGAACACTGGTGGCATAGCCAGTTTTTTCTTATCTGAATAATATATACAAATTGATAAAAGTACATGTTTTTATTTAGCTGTTGATTCAGAAAGATTACAACAGCACTATGCTGCATACATGCAGATAATGCCTTCATTTCATTTATTTTCGTGGAAAATTGCATGTTTCTTTACTTGTAGTTTTTTTTTTTACTTTTGGGCCTTAGTGACACATAAGATGCATGTGAAATTATAGAACATGTGAGATTCTCAGACAAAGAGGTACTAGTGAAAAACAATACACCAGGAATAAGAACATCCTGCTAAGTTAGAAGTTCCAATGACAGGGATCACAGCTTAAATATCACTGCATGTTTTTAGCTTCAAAACTGATCTCGGCTTTTAAAGTGAATTTATTCTCCTGGCCATATAGTGCATCTGCAGAGGACTTCCAGTTGCGTGCGGTTAATGAAAAGCCTAATAAAAGGGAAATTAAGCACGCTTTGCGGTTTTAGGGCTCACAGTGCGTCTACAGCACGAGCAGAGAATACAAGAAGAGAAACTGGGAAAAACCCTGAAAGTGCATTGCAGCACATTTGTGGACTAATTTAACAAGGAAATGAGTGAAGAAATTTGCGTCATCTTTTCTGCCAAGCAAGAGATACTGCTGCTAGGATGTGACTCTTTCTTGATTATTTAGGCTATGCCATCCCTGTGCATTTGTACCTGGTGCTATTCTTTGAGAAAGATATGTGCTCTTTGTCATATGTGGGGCGGTGCAGTGGCTCTGTGGCTAAGGATCAATGCCTGTGGCTGGAAGGTTGCCGGCTCAAATCCCACGGCTGGCAGAGAAATCCTACTCTGTTGGGCCCCTGAGCAAGGCCCTTAACCCCAACTGCTCCAGGGGTGCTGTATAAATGGCTGACACTGCGCTCTGACCCCAACCTTCTCTCCTTGTCTGTGTGTCTCATGGAGAGCAAGTTGGGGTATGCAAAAAGTCAAATTCCTAATGCAAGAGATTGTATATGGCCAGGAAAGTGATCTTATTTTATGTTTATGTTTTCCACTAAACTCTGACAGCTGACAATGGGCACCAGGCATGGAGACTGCTCTTTGATTGGTGATATCTTAAGCTGGATATAATCTCAGGGGCATATCCTTGTGAAGTTCAAGTGAGGAGAAAAAAGTAAAACTGTAAAATGGGGAAAAACATCAAAAGGCTGGGATAACAAAATCTCTAAACGTGCGGATTAAGAATGGCATTAACAGGTAGGCTCCTGTTTAACGGTGAACCACAATGGTCGTGTTGCTCTATGTACTTAACACTTTGTCACAGCATTAACCTCAATGAAAGCGTCCTCAATTAAATGCAATGACCTACTATTTTTTTTCAGACCAGCATTATCAGAAAGCAAGCACAAAAGAAATTAAATTGAAGCTGAAAGGGGAATTAATCTCTCTGTTTTAATAGAAGGATGGTGCTCTGCTGAGCACATGAACAAGGTCAGATGGGAAGGGTGCCGCCTTTAAATCATCCCTAGCTGTCGTCTCCCGTCGCTGTCTTCCTACAGCGCCAAGCGGGTCAATCAAGGACAGCATTTCTCCATACGTAAGACTAGAAATTGCATAACACATTTTTTCTTCTTAGATTTTTAATATATAATTGTTTGGTTATTCATGACAGTCTTGGGTTTTGATGCTGACACAGCTTCTGATGGTGCAGCAGTTACACAACTCAAATATCATCAGTGGTCATCACAAACTGCAATCAAAGCTAAACCGCTTTTTGTGTTGCTTTTCGGTTAAATGCAAAGCAAATGATTTCTGTTAATTTTCGGTAATTAAGTCCTCTTCAGATATGACTCTAGGATGTTCCATATTGACAACTTTCTGCAAAAAAAAATGAGAGTGAAGCCTTTTGAAATCAGAGTCTTATATGAGATAAATAAAACTAACTTTAAATCCCGGACAGTTTGGGAGAAGAGTACAGAAGGGGTTGTTTTACTGTTTTTCTAAGAAGGCACATGAATAAACACAATGTTTCAAGGAGGTTTAAACTAAAACAGCTCAATCTACTTATAAATACAGTACATACTGTACTGTTGTGTATCATCCCAAATTGTTTATTCCCTCTGCAATTTCATTTTAGAATAATGTAAAATGAGTGCCTTTAATTTCATTAAGGGTTGTAGAAGATGTTTCTGAAATGGAGTATTGTTGGTGAGATTCTTTTGTGTCAGACACTGCAGCAGAACAAATTTACCTTAGAGGAGGATGATAAAGTTTGAATCAAATTTTACTTGTTCACAAACCTCTCATGTGTGATGAAGTTAAAAATCCCACCTGGAGTTACAAGAGTGAACTGTTATAATCAGCAGTATCAACTGTTTATATGGCAGAATTAGCCAGGAGTTTTCCTGGAGACTCTCCTACTCTGCTGTCAGGAGAATTGACACAGTAAGATACCGACAGAGATGACACCTAGTGGTTGCAGCAGCTTAGATAACAGTATTATACATTTCAGTGTGACAAAGTTATGAGTGACGCAGACAAAATGCAGGATAAGCAATTGGAGCCACCTATCATATGCTCATCTGGAATGCCTGGTTGACCTGAAGGAAGCTTTGGCTGCCAGGAGTCGCACCAAGGGCACTCCACTCAGGATTGCTTGGCATGAAGACTGGAAAAGTAATTTTCAGGGCAGGTACTAATAAAGTGCAGTTTCTAAAATCTACAGTTAGAAAAAAAAGCACACTGAAAGTATAGTTCAAGTGGGATACTAAAAATGCTGAATTAGAGATAATGAATACGTTGGCACAACAGAGTTTTGTTTTGCCACACTCGTATACATTTTAAATGTTATATTCCATTTTTTTCCACCTGCTGTAAGAGTATGATTTTCCCTCTACAAGATCTCGTACAGTATTGTGGTACAGTAGGTCCAATTCTGTGTGGGAACAGGTGATGTGAAAGGAGTAACGTTTTTCTGAAATGAAGGGTTAAACAAGAACTTTATACCTGCAAAAAGTTTACTTGTTGAATTGGGAGTCTTATATCTATTTGTGCCTTCTGAAGAAATTCCCTTTCTCTTTTAGACATAGATTTAAATTTTTACATACTGCTGGTGTTAGCTTACAAAATCCATTTAACTACAGCTGAAAACAAGACATTTTGTATTGCTCTTACACATACAATATACCCTGAAGGATCCCACAGTGCTTTCATACAGTATATGAGGACGCCTACTTCATGTACAACTGTACGACTCCCACCTGGGTGAAGGGCAGTAGCCGATCTATACCAACACACAGTTCTTACAACTTTATCGCAAGAGTAATTCCCTTGTTGACAATGATCATACACTTATTTGGATTCACTTCCATTCATTTGGCCTGGGAAGATAAAATGCCAAGAATTAATAAAGCAAACAACTTTGTACATTTATGATTCTAGTGATCTTTGATCTGTGTTATCAGTCTGTAAAGAATAACGCAAAGCAGAGTTATGAACCAAGCTCCTCTTCGAACAAGACCTTCAGCAGCACAGACACACCATGGCTCCACTCCACTTTCTTCTGCTAGGGCTACAGATTTATCTTGCCATCAACCCTTCTTATTCGGTTATACCTGGTAAGTAAGATATGATAATGTCAACTTTGTAAATGAAAACGTGTGACCATCTTTGAGGTTTGTTATTCGTTCTAAATTGTTCTTCTGCTTTTGCTACTTTATACTTTCTTTTTCTATACTTTTGTCTTTTTTTTTAAATGCCAGCTGAAGTGGATATATGTGAAAGCTGACAAACACCATATTTCTGTAAAGAGTCTCCTCTGCATGTTTCCATTTGCCTAGAATTCTAGAACATAAGAATTAAAAGGAATACTACAAGAGGAGGCCTTTCAAACTGATTTGTTAGTTGGTAACTAACCTCAGGTGCTCGTCCACCCATCTCTTGAAAGGAACCTTCCAGATGTCCCAGACCCTAGCCTCCTGTTTTCAGTCTAGAATGTCCCAACCCTTAGTTGCTACTTGAGTCCCATGATTTTTGTTTAACTGCTGATTTTAAAAATAAAACAAGGGGGTTGACCCAATATCTCTGAGGCTTTTGAACACTGGAATCAGGTTTCCTTGTAGTCGTCTCTTCTCAAGATTAAAAAAGTTAATTTCTTTTAGTCTGTGAATGTACAGTAGCTGTTTGGTCTCCTGTGGACTGTTTCCAGAACAGGCAGCGATATCTCTCTTGTCATGTAGTGACCAAACTTGTACATATTATAAGTGTTTACATGTTTAACATGAGATCACCCAATTTGATTCTGCACCTAAAACACTACAGTTTGTACTGACATTCTGCCTGCCTTATGCATTGTATAATGGAGACAAATTATGTATTACACAGACTCAAAAGATGGTTTTCATACTATAGGCAGCCTCCTAAGTGTCTCAGTATTGCCCATCTTAAATTTATGTTCTATGCTTTCTGTCTGATGAACAATGCTCTTGTCTACATTGAATGTCACCTCCCAGTCTTGGGTTTTTTAAAGCAGTCCGAATCTGTTGCTACTCTTGCACTGTTTGTCACTCCTCCTGAGGTGGTATCCTCCATAAAAGTGGTTAATTTTATTATTCAGGTTTAACATAAAATACAATGGTAATACTGTAAGA